CTGGTTCCCCTAAGCCCTGTCAGAAATCCAAGGGAGTGAGGCCCCTAAAGTCACAGTCAAAAATGTCTCTGATGCCCTCGTCCTCCTCAAGGCCAAAGTGGTAGTCGTGAGCTTCATGGGGAGGAGACAGGCTGATGTACTCCTCAGGGAGGAGGCTGGAAAAGTCTTCCCGCACGTGCTCCAGGAGCAAATGATGCCTCCACAGGCAAATAATGCAATTTGGGTGAGAAAAAACACCAACTACCTTGTTTATCCTTAAGGATAAACAAGGTTTGGGGAGAAGTCTGGGCATAGTAAAAGAAAAGATCACAAGGCAGGGAATAAAATAGGGCTAATATAAAAAGGGGGATTATATTAAACTAATGAGTGCAAGAATATCTTGATAAAACCAGCCCTGATAGTATCTTTCATGGGCATGTAAATATATTTAATATTTCTAACTTGCCTAACTCAGCTGTAATCTTCCTTAGCGGAGAAGAAATCTAAAAACAGAGCCAAGCCTCAATACTACCAAAGATTTTAAACATTGGTTTGTGTTACTAACAGTTTTTCCAGTTTATTGTCTGATGCCTCTTGCTACAAGAGAGAAAGAATGCCGCAAAGGAGGTAAAATGAATTTACCAATATTAGGGTTTATGGATATATTAAAGAAGAAATTCATTGTGTGGTACGATTGCTTGTTAGTCCACAGAAGCCTGTTCTTTTTTTTGTTCATATGAAAATTCTTCTAGAGTCTTTGAAGGCATAAACTAGGTATTTCCCTCAACCTCTTTTCTCTTCCTAAAAGTATCATTTTCCAATCCAATTGTTCTATTTATTCAACTTTGTGTTTGTATTGTTGGCTTTTTGCCAATGACTGCTTATCCTTACATGACCCTCATGCTTATATTTAAAGAACAATGCTGATTATCACAGGTATCTTGGTCCAGGTTTTGCCAGCCAGTCATTACTATTTTACAGAAAGAGAGTTCAATATTTCCCAACCCCCTGGGTTAGGCGCAGAAATTTTCAGGCATTATTCCAGCTAACATAGGTGGTAGTAGACAGAAGGGTGCCATCAACTTTCACTTTTAAAATTTTCTTCAGACACATGACAGTTTTATTTTAGAGCATTTCTTGGCAAGTAAACACATGGGTGAATAGGGACCCCAATCTGGGAAGCATCTGAAAAATAATATCTCAAAAAATTACCTAGATTTCCATTCTTTTCTGGAAAGAGGATGGAATACCATCATTTGGCAGAAACAGTCTTCATCATATTCACTGCTGCCTTCTCTACATATATTGAACTGCCCCTTTTGAGGAATTGGATGGTAGTTTGAGAAACTTCCTCTTAATGTCCCCACTTCAACTGACTCCATCTTACTTTATTAATTCTACTGTAAATTCACTGATCTTGAAAGAGCTAGTTTGACTCTTAAGGTTGCATTATGTGAACAGAAGCCAAGCAGGTCCTAGTCCATGAATTTCATCAAGATATTGGAAGCTGTAAATAATTTTAACTTATACTTCCTAGTTACACTGATACTAAAAGTATGTTAAGTCTTTATATTTAACATACTGTTTCCTTTTTAATAATTATTTATTTATGTTTTTAGATTTATTTATTTGGGCTTACAAAACTGGGATACAGGCCAGAGGTGATGGGTTGTGAGAGGATTCACCAGTCAGAGTGGAGAACAGAACAGGCAGACTGAGAAAGTACACTGCTGAGGGGAGCAGCAGGTGGGTCAAAAGAGGTCTCCCATACCATGTGGGTCAGCACCCTGGCCGGGGATCCAACTCGTGCTGCAGTGGCTTCAGAGAGCTTCATAATACAGTGCTTTAACTCTTTGCGCCACCAAGTAGAGCCTCTAATCAATTATTTTGATGATGTAGTGGGATGAAAAGCAGATTCAAGGTAGTGATGGAAGGTGAAACTGAAATAATTCATTTATTGTCTTAATGAAATTCAATTTCCTTGTTTGCAGACCTAACCTTGTATAATAATTTGAGGATCATATGAGGCAAATGTGTGAATTGCTTTCTCTGGGAAACCTATTTAATCTGTAAGTTGAGGCTAGAGTTATGTGGATTAAATTAATAAATTCATGTAAAATGCTTAGAATGGGGTCTAACTCACAAAAAGAACTAAATTTGACATCAAAACTATGTTTTTTTTGAGAATAACTTCTAAATATGAAATCTAATTATTTAAACATTTTTGTAAGGAAGAAAAGAAATAGTGGATAATTTGACGAATGGACAATTTTCTTTTGAATAACCAGACATTGACAGTGAAGTATTTTGATGCCTTGCAAATCTGAGACTAATGAAAACTGACAAAGAACGTTTCATCAATTTTTCTAATTTAACTTGAAATTCTTAAATCACTGACAAAGAAGTAAAGTCATAATAAGTAGGAAAAAAAAGGGATTCAGTGTTGTCATTAGTGCTTTATCATCAGCAAATATTATAGAGCATATGTGTTTACATATACATTTACACATACATATATATACTTATTAACTGGTGTTTTAATCTGAAGTAAACACAAAAAGTAGTGCTTCTTATTTGGGAGGAAATCAGCACACAAATATTGTCATAGTTTGGATAGATTTAATGGAAAATTTTTAATAGTTTTTTTCTGGTTGCTAAAACCAGAATTCAGAAGTTATGTTTATTTTTATTATTTCAGTTTAATTATCAGCTTCATTTATTGTCCAGCACTAAATACATAATGAATCCAACTAGGTAATACTAATTTTTAAATAGGTTGGACTTCCATATGATGAAAAATTTTTATGATGTTTCACTATAGATAGCTTAGGAAAATACAAAATCATATGTGAGATAAATAAAAAATAAATGCTTAAGAAAAATAACTTCATTGATAAAAACACCTTCAACTCAAATACAAGCAGTTTTGATTTTAAAACTGAGAAGGTGATGAGCAAAACACAAATGACACAAGTCCTATCCTTTTTCTCTGTTTAAAAATAAAAGGTAGTTTAGAGGAAGTTTCCACAATGGTTTATTGTTTTATTTCTCTCTATATATTGAAGGCATTTATAATATCATGGAGTAGATATTTTTGAGGAAGTCCCACCTAATTATTGTGGCAGATTTTGTTCTTTGTATTGTGTAAACTTTCTTGTCAATAGATGAAAGAGGACAGATTTCTAGTACAAGGAAGGGGTTTCTGAAATTGGCAGAGGTATTTCATTTATTTGGATGAAGTTCACAGAAATCATGCATCCTAAAATGTGAGTCTTGGTATTTATATTGTAATTTCTTAAATCAGTTACATTTTTTCATCAATATAAAAAATCCCAAGGACATATGTACCACTAAAACAAACCAGATACACCATTGCCTAGAAGCACAGCAGCATTCACAGTCAGTTTTTTATCAACATTCTTTTATCTGAGTTCTCTGGAGTATGTAAAAATACATTTGTTTTCTGAAAAATATTTATTTCCTCCAGTATTTCTGTGAATCCTTTAATTCATATATTATATATGAATCAAGATATATGTGTATGTGTAATAATATTGAGATATGTATTTTCAATTCTTCCAATCTTTTAGTTATACTAAATATTACAAACAGGCCTCCCTGAGGTTAAGTCTCAGTAGTATCACCATGACTTGAGGTTAAGTCTCAGCAGTATCACCATGACTGCCTAAATTTAGTCCCCAACAAGGGAGCTAACCCAAACACAGCACAGCAGACCACTTCCATCTGGCCTGCTGCTCCTCTCAGCGGTTTATCTCAGCCAGTCTGCCTGTTCTGCTCCCCACTCTGTCTCTGGTGAATTCTCTCACTCTTCTCACCTCTGGCTTGTACCCCAGTTCTTGTATGCATAAACAAATAAGTCTTTAAGACATAATAAAAATAAAATTAAAACAAAAAATCTGCATTGGATAATAGAACGCATATTTTTAAAAGAAATCAATAAAAATATGGCTATCAGCTGGCTGCTGAAAGTCCAAATTTTGACAAATTATTGATGTTAATGACAACACTCATGATAGCTGAAATGCATCTAAATAACATAATAATACTGCTTAAGAAGTATTATGATCCAATTTGTAATAACCGGTGGAAGAACACCCAATATGCATGCTACAATATTTTGAAGGTCACACAATTATCAACTTGCCATAGTGTTACTCACTTGAGTATATAATTTGAATGTAAGATTATTTATGAAGTTTTGTAGTGCTTGTAGAATAGTAGAATACAAATCTTCATTGTATGTACAAACAGAAATGCCTGATCTAATGTGCCATTAAGCAACTGTAGCTTTGCTCTACATTTTTTAAGCATTAAACTAATTATGATGAGGTTTAGTCTTACTATATGCTGCATATTTAATCTTTTTTAAGAGCCTATCAAATTGAATCAGGAGATGCAACTTGTTTACGTTATAAGCAAACACATGCAATATTAACAATGTGCAATACCCAGGCTTAATTAGAAAAAGTTCATGCTATCTTAAATACATTTAGGAGTATAATACCAGTTTTAATTTGAATTTGCCATTTAATTATATTTTAAAACTAATTTATATGACTTGGTTTTTTTCTCCATGCAGTGTTGTTCTATTGACCTCATTAAAGCTAGACTGTACTAAAAATGAAATGAATGAGTAAGACTTGAGGAGAGAGGAGTGCTATAGGTAGAGACCACAAGCAAATTGTCATGTAAAATTGATTATCAGATGTTTCTTATATCAAATTTATGGGTTCAAGCTCACCTCAAAAGGACCCTGTATGAATTCTTGTCCTGGGCTCTAGCTTGAAGATCTATAAATGTGATTAAATTTCTGGGGAACTAATGCAGTAACGCATTCTGGCACAGGAGTTCAATCTTATGGTTTACTAATTAAGATTTTTTATTAATGAGAAAAAATCTAGCATCATAATATAAAACAATTTCTGGACAAGGGAAGAGAAGTCACATCAGAATTTTCAATTTTAGGATAAAATCCAAAAGAGGTAATAAAAATTGTTTACCTTCACAAATCGTGACACCATTTCCTGAAAATCCCATGTTGCAATAACAGGCTTCAACTCCATTCCGTATTTCACATCTTGCATTTGGGAGACAAGGTGTCTTGGTGCAATTTTGAGTATAGGTACAATTCAGCAAAGTGGAAAAACCCACTAAAGAAAATAAATACACCTTTCAAAAAGAGAAAGAAAAAACTCCCCCCTTTGTTGAATTAGACTACTGTAAATGCAAATACTTTTCTTTCTTTCCATTTAGATAAATGGATTATGAGAATTCCCCTGGGGAGCATTTAGCTGAATAACACAATAGCAAGGAAGTGAAAAAAATAACATTTTTCTTCAATCTTTGTGTTTGTCAAATAAATCTCCACAAGGCAAAATGTAGTAAATAACCGAGCTTCATAAAGAACAGGGTGTTCCTAGATCACTGGACCATAGTTATCAATGCTCCCTATGAGATGCTTTTAAAGGTAACTGTAAGATTGTAAAGAAATTTACTCTTCTGGGAAGGATTCTGTGAAAAAATTAAGGTGAACTGAGTATTTAGGTCTTTTCAAATTCAAAACTAGTATTTGAAGGTATGTTTCTAAGCAGCATACCATAACATCCTGGAGTAGAGATGTAATTGTTTTTCTTATGGTCTAATGATTTTTTTAAAAAAGCTGTCTTTTTCATAATATTTTTAATTTCTTGTCCCACTAGGGGAAATTAAAACAAACTCAACATACTGGTCAAAGATTGATATTCTGGAGATAGAATACAGAAACAGGACATAAGAGAAAACAAGGCTTTATTTCAGAGTTATTGAAAACAAAGTTGGAAGTTCTATTTTATGGGCTGGTAGGAAAAGATAAGGAAAAGCATAGGACCTTCCTTTTTTATTGTTGTCCCAGACCTCAAGACAAGCACGCCTGGGGCAGGACAGTTATGAATTGTTCAAGTTATTGTTCTGAAAATAGTCCTCTGAGATAAATTGCCCTTATCTGGTAACTAGAGATCTTAAAACTTTAGTCTTCTAAATCCCAGCCTCACATAGGGCTGTATAGATCGTTTAAACCAGAAATTAATTCACCTTCCAAGATGCGATTTATTATATTTCTGTACAGTATCATCAAGAGTTATTTCAAAAGAACCTGAAGTATGGGATGGCAGTACCCCCTTAAAATGCCAGGAAACCTCCTAGAAATGTTAATGGTTTGGACTTCCAAACTTCTAGCAGAGAGGTCAAGAGAAAGGTCAAAATCTGAGACTTTGAGAGGACTTTGGGGACTTTGTCAGCAGGAAATGAAAAGGTGACTTAGTCCCTAGGCCCCAAATACTGAACTCCAAAGCTGAAAGGCCAAGGAGAAAAACATCCTGAGAAGCGCTGCGTCAGTTTTCCTTGGAGAGTCAAGTCAAACCCACTTGGTGTATGAATTCCACTTTAGAAAAATCGCCTCCCCTATAAGTGATGGGTCCCTCTGGCAAGCCAGGGACAGGGACTCTGGGCACTCACCTAGGAGCGGGAGGAGTTTCATTGGCAGCGGCCGCGGTGCTGGCAGTGGCGGGAACTCGGCTGCGTGTGCGGGCCTTGTACCAGGAGCGGCTGGGCGGGCGCGGCAGGGTCCCGGCTCCGTCCCCTGTGACGTGCCGCTTCCTCCGGACACTTTCCGGCCTCTTTTGTGTGAGAGTGTGTGTCAGGTCCTGAGTCTGCGGACTGCGTCCGGCCCTCCCCCCTTCCCCCATGCCACTCTGTGTGCATTCCCTTTACGCAAACTACTGACCCTAACACTTGCAAATTCTTTCCAGAAGCATTTTGCCCCCAGCTGCTGAGTGGAGAGTGCCATCCTCAAAGCCTAAGCTCCATGGCTAAGGTGTGTTCCTCCTGAGAGAGCATCCAGAATACAGATCTTAGAGGTCTCCCCGCAGCTTACATTCCATACAAAGTTCTTTTATGCACTAAAATACTTCCATGAAGAAATGTGGCCGTAAAGTAGGCAAAAGAGTCCTGAGTCTCAGCTATGTGGTTTTTCATTATCAGTTTAAGTCCCCACCTTGTAATTTATGGTTTTAAAATGTAAAATAAGTGTAAACTCTTACCTTGCTTTCTGGTTGGGATTGTACCTAAAGTGATCGTGTGAAAAACAAGCTCCAAACCCAAAACAAGCTCCACCCCAAGATTCAAAAATTGAATGATTATGCTGTTGTCCATTTTCAACCAAAATGTTACCCCTACTGTCAGCCCTGTCCCTGGAACAACTGGAGTAGCCTATTACTTTTTCTTTTGCCTGCTACTATATACAAGTTGGTTATACAGACACAGATTATTTCGGGTTAGTGGAATCCCTAGATTCCAATGAGATTATAAACTAGCAGGGCAACAACCAAAACTAGTTAGTGACATAAATCACAATGACTTAAGTGCTCATATGTGGACAGAATTGTCTGGCTCTCCACAGCATTTTCTTAGAGACTTTCTGGCTTAATTTAACTCTTACAAAACAAATTCCCTGGAGCAGTATTATAATAGATTCAGGAAATAAACAGAACTAGTGACTTGTCCAAAGTCACACATCCTAAATGACTGTCTGGGCTTCAAACCCAGTTTATTTTGCCTCAGTCAGTCATCTCAGACATTTTGCTATATCTTTTTTATTGCAATAATGAGGAATTACCAGTTACTACCAGACAGAGAATATGAGAAGGTGATATAAATGCCAGTAAAAAATTTGTTTTGGATTTATTTTGTGGATAATTGGTTTCTTTGAATGCTTTATTTTATTTTATTGATTTATTTTATCTCTTTTTTTTAACATGGATAGTGATTAAGTAAACAAATAAACAGATTCTGACTGCTGTCTGAATGAGGGTTTGTAAGGAGATAGCAAAGACAGAGAAGCTAGGATAGCCCAAGAAAGGAAAAAAAAAAAAAAAATCCCTGAAAAGGGTAAAAGAGTATTTGGCTGGGAAGATATGAAGCAATTCCAGAAAGGATTAGTAAAGACAAACTGATGCCAGGTTTTGTTAAGGGGAATAGATGCTCTGAAAGAACCCCAAAAAGATTTTGTGGACTCCACCCTCACTCCAGACTAAAGTCAAGACACCTGAAACTAAAATCCCATCATCAGGGATGGGAGAATTGCTGGAACCTGAGAGAGGAGTTAAACAGCCAGGTTTGGTATAACACCAGACCTGTGGGCCTTGGGGCTTCAGTCGTTTGGTCTCTTCATTCTTGTCTTTACTCTTGGGTTTGGTCTCTTCATTCTTGTCTTTACTCTTGGTTTTTCTCCTGCTCTCAGCATGCCCTTGGGATTCCAGGTCAACAGAACTGGTAGGACACATTTATCAATTTATCTCTTGCTCTCTGTTATTTATATCTCCATTTCCCTTTCTTTTGTAAATAAATCCTCTATTAAACTTTTTATGTGTGCCTGCAGTTGAGCCTTGTAAGTCCCTTCAAGTGCACAGGTGAGGACCTGCAGTCAGGCAACCCATTTCATATCCGGGGTGCCCTGTAACAGTTTGACTTGCCAAAGTTGAGGTAGATGACTGAGATAAAGAATGTGGAGATTTTATAACTGTGAGCAAAAGAAGGTTGGAACCATTGACAAAAATAAGAAAGATAGGGTGAGGAATAACTTGGAAGGAAAAAGAGTAATGACTTGACTTTTATAAGATTTGAGGTGTCTCGATGACCTGACTTCACTTAGGTGAAATGAATGAAGTCATTGCAGGTATAAATCATTCAAAAGGCATAAATATAGAACTATATTATTTTCTGATACATGTTTCAAACGGAAGCATAGTAACTATTTTTAAAATCGTTACCCTAAAGTAGTTTATTCCCCATACCAGTCAAATAGTCTTTAGCTGTTTACTAAAGATGATAAGAGAAAGTGCTTAAAAGCATAATTCTTCTCTATACATTGCTTAAAATGTTTAACAGTGAGTTAAAATTCAGCTTAAAAATGTTTAAATTTTCCTTTTTTGTTCATATCCAAGTAAAAGTTCATACATACATTTTTTTATGAAGAAAAGGGTATCATATAGGTGAACATAGAGTATTTAATGATTTTTATAGTTTTGAGATTGTCCTTTGTAAAAAATCAAAATTACTTAGTTTATTACTGTCTATTTTATTAAGGAGAAAATTGAAGATAAACTTAATTTTGATTTGTCTTTACATTACTGAGAAATATATAAAATTTCAATCCAGACAAATAATTCAGAAAACAAAGCTTATTTTAAAGACTTTTTCTAAGGTAAAGTAGAACTATTAAACCTAAACTTTTATCAGTGATTTTCACTTGAATACCGCTGTGTCATGTGTAACTTTTGAAGATATAAGTCACTTACAGCTTGATCTTAACGTAAGGATAAAACATGGAAATTAAGTCATTTTAAACTGCCTACCCAATTGTGGTTTTAATACACTCGTGTGAACACTCATGCAATGTGAGATCTTATCAAACCCATGATTAGTTCTATCTTGGGTCTGAATATAAGAAGCCAAATAAAACAGGATTTCCTTGAAATGTCCTTGGTCATGTTGAAGTTTGCTATGGAAAGTATTCACTCAGAAAACTGGCTCTACCTTTTATGTGAGTAGATTCTTAATCTTTTGTGGGATCAGTTCACCCATTGCAACATGGAAAAAGCATGGAAATTCTTCCCTAATAGATCACACTGGATTGCAAAGCTCATTAATACACAGGTTCAAACTATTGGGCAATCCATGCCTTTGATATTTAACACAATGAAATATAGAAAATTAGTGAATTTTCATTTCATTAGATGAAATGAAAACCTTTTCTAAAGAAGACATATTCATGGAGTATAGAGACTGGTGTAAGGAAAATATTCTGTTTCTGAATTCCTGTCTTGGGACTACTGAGTGTGTCTAATTCCTCATCTAACTGTTAACATTGTGGTTGAATAAGTTCTGTGATGTTACTTCTAAATAATATCATCACTCACACTTCCTTTGGCTTTTCTCAAATCAAAGGGAGCTTTGATACCAATTAGGGAATTGAGGTAGCTCCTCATTTACATTCTCTATTCCCCTTGAACCCTGACTAAGATTACAATTTACCAGTGATGTTTTCTATCATAGATCAATTTTGATCAGTACTAGCATTATCAGTGTATACTTGGAAAATGGTTGTTTAAAAGTAAGAAATGATAGTAAAAGAGATTTTTTAGATTATCAAAACAGAACAGATTTTTTATATTATCAGAACAGAACAGAACAGAGCTAGTTAAGACATTAAGCCTAAGCAGAGGCCTTTGCTCTCTTGGCCGGTAGACCAGAAGGGATGTCCCAGAACTTTCACAATAGGAAGTAGGTGCTGAAGCATCTGGTAATTTTCAAAGTTGACTGGAAGGGAAAAGATCTGAATTCCTTCTCAGCCTTGTCATCCAATTGTTTTGTGAACTTTAGACAACTCTTATCTCTTTCTATTATTCTGTTTGACATTTTGCAAATGTCACTGATATGTACACTTCTACCTCCCAGGATTCCCATTCATAAAGATTTATAAATTAGCACCCACACCCACACCCAAAAATTAGGAACTAACATTTTTGAGTCAGGCACTGATTAAAAAAGCACGCATTCTGCCAATAGTTTGAATTGTAATTGACTTCTAAATTATTTTATTAATGCATTTTCCTTTGTTTGGACATTTTCCATGTTATAAAAATATTAACTGACCTCATTTTTAAAAAGGGTGGTGCTTCTGAAACAAATCATGTTGAGTCACTTTCTATTTAACACTGCTACAGTTTTTAGCGTGCTTTTAACTTCTGTAGCATTGATTTATTCATAATTTATTGCTCTTCTTCATTGAACTGACCAAAATAATATCCTGAGAGGTTACAAAATCTATTAGACTGTACAAGTAATTTAAATTATTTCCTTAGGTGTGTAATCCCTTGTATTTCACATTAAATTTCATCTTTGTGTTATTCAATCACTAGTTTATTATACCTTCTTACATTTCCTCACAATTACTATTTTTTTTTGAAAATTAAACATTGTAATTGTGTACTGTCAGCATATTTCAACTGCTTGTTATTCACTGTTATTCATTATTATTAATATGCATATTAAAGATACTAAGTTTCAGACTGAAATATTCAGGGAACATCATTAATTTCCTACTTCTCTGAGGTTTATTTGTATTCTTACCTTTACTTTCCACTTTGTCATTAATTTTTTTTAAGATTTTTTTAATGCATACAGAATGGGGTATAGGCCAGAGGTGCAGGGACAGTGAGGGATTCACCAGAGAAAGAGTGGGGTACAGACCAGGCAGATAGTTGAAGTATATTGCTGAGGGAGCAGTGGGTGAGACAGCAGAGGTCTGCTGCACCATGGAGGTCACCTCCCTGGCTGGGGGATCAAACTCATGCTGCAGTGGCCATGGATTGCTTCATAGTGCTGCACTTCAACCCATTGTGCCACCCTGTTTGTGAAATAAAAACAGAATCATTTAATTCACAAAAAATGTGATATGAAATACAGCCTCACATTTTATTTTTTGTGGCAAATGTGATTGCATAGTGTAGAACAAATGAGAAAATGAAGAGGTT